GCACCAATTTAGCGAACGTGCACTCATCTGCAATCTAATTTGCTTCCGTCGGTAGACTCACCTGTATCACAGCTGAAGCTTTCTTTTGTTTTGATGATGATCTCAGGCAACTGAATGTGCTGCGTTCACCAGCCCGCCTCATGTTTCAGTCGGTACGATATTTCAAATATCGCGATATATGAATATATTTGTATTTTAGTGTACTGCTCATAAGGTTGGTGAAAATCCATCGACAGCCCACGACCGGTTTCGCACTTCTCGGTGCTCATCAAGTAGGCGCAGTCCCCGGGTTTCCTTCAAACTTAGGTTCTACTTCAAACCGAATTTCAACAACTCGTGGAATATACACTCATCTTCAAATTAATTTGTTTCTTTCGAGAGACTCACCCGGAACCCAGCTGAATCTCTCGTATTTTTTGAAGATGTCAGTCAACTGAATGTGCGGCATGCAACAGGCCTCCTCATGTTCCAGTCGCTACGATATTTGAAATATCGCGATACATGTATATATATGTATTGTAACGTACTAATCATGCCGTTGGTGAAAATCAATCGACAGCCCAAGACCTTTTTCGCGCTTCTTCGGGCTCATCAGTTAGGCGCAGTCCCCGGGTTTCGGTCAACCTTATGTTCTAAATCAAACCGATTTGCACCAATTTAGCGAACGTGCACTCATCTGCAATCTAATTTGCTTCCGTCGGTAGACTCACCTGTATCACAGCTGAAGCTTTCTTTTGTTTTGATGATGATCTCAGGCAACTGAATGTGCTGCGTTCACCAGCCCGCCTCATGTTTCAGTCGGTACGATATTTCAAATATCGCGATATATGAATATATTTGTATTTTAGTGTACTGCTCATAAGGTTGGTGAAAATCCATCGACAGCCCACGACCGGTTTCGCACTTCTCGGTGCTCATCAAGTAGGCGCAGTCCCCGGGTTTCCTTCAAACTTAGGTTCTACTTCAAACCGAATTTCAACAACTCGTGGAATATACACTCATCTTCAAATTAATTTGTTTCTTTCGAGAGACTCACCCGGAACCCAGCTGAATCTCTCGTATTTTTTGAAGATGTCAGTCAACTGAATGTGCGGCATGCAACAGGCCTCCTCATGTTCCAGTCGCTACGATATTTGAAATATCGCGATACATGTATATATATGTATTGTAACGTACTAATCATGCCGTTGGTGAAAATCAATCGACAGCCCAAGACCTTTTTCGCGCTTCTTCGGGCTCATCAGTTAGGCGCAGTCCCCGGGTTTCGGTCAACCTTATGTTCTAAATCAAACCGATTTGCACCAATTTAGCGAACGTGCACTCATCTGCAATCTAATTTGCTTCCGTCGATAGACTCACCTGTATCACAGCTGAAGCTTTCTTTTGTTTTGATGATGATCTCAGGCAACTGAATGTGCTGCGTTCACCAGCCCGCCTCATGTTTCAGTCGGTACGATATTTCAAATATCGCGATATATGAATATATTTGTATTTTAGTGTACTGCTCATAAGGTTGGTGAAAATCCATCGACAGCCCACGACCGGTTTCGCACTTCTCGGTGCTCATCAAGTAGGCGCAGTCCCCGGGTTTCCTTCAAACTTAGGTTCTACTTCAAACCGAATTTCAACAACTCGTGGAATATACACTCATCTTCAAATTAATTTGTTTCTTTCGAGAGACTCACCCGGAACCCAGCTGAATCTCTCGTATTTTTTGAAGATGTCAGTCAACTGAATGTGCGGCATGCAACAGGCCTCCTCATGTTCCAGTCGCTACGATATTTGAAATATCGCGATACATGTATATAGTTTTATTGTAATGTACTACTATTGCGGTTGGTGAAAATCCATCGACAACCCACGACCGGTTTCGCTCTTCTCGGGGCTCATCAGGTAGGCGCAGTCCCCGGGTTTCCGTCAACCTTATGTTCTACTTCAAACCGAATCGCACCAAATTAACCTATATACAATCATCTGCAAACTAATTTGGTTCTTTCGAGAGACTCTCTTTTAACCTATCTGAATCTCTCATGTTTCGATTATGTTCTCACGCAAATGAAAGCGCTGCATTCACCTGGCCGCCTCATGTCTCAGTCGCTGCGATATTTTGAATTTTCCGGTACGTGTATATATTTGTATTTTAATGTGCTACTCATAAGTTTGCCGAATGTCCATCGACAGCCCACGGCCGGTTTCGTTCGTGTCGGTTCTCATCATGTAGGTTCCCATCTATCTTATCCATAGAAAATCCACGTTTATGTTCACGTTCAATCGATCATCTCTCGGAATCATTCCGCGAACGGTTATGAAGTGATGGTGCTCTGATATCCACTGGCCTGCGCTTTCATGTGCATACACAGCCTCCGATCCTACGTGTCTGTGATCGTTATTCCAGTTATAGTGGTAATTTCTGAGGTCGACTTTGAAGGGGGTG